GTCTATTTCTATCACTCACATGACTAGAATGTCCATGGTCTATTCCTATCACTCACATGACTAGAATGTCTGTGGTCTATTCCTATCACTCACATGACTAGAATGTCTATGGTCTATTCCTATCACTCACATGGCCAGAATGTCTATGGTTTATTCCATCACTCACATGACTAGAATGTCTATGGTCTAATCCTATCACTCACATGACTAGAATGCATATGGTATATTCCTATCACTCACATGACTAGAATGTATATGGTCTATTCCTATCACTCACATGACTAGAATGTCTATGGTCTATTCCTATCACTCACATGACTAGAATGGCTATGGTCTATTCCTATCACTCACATGACTATAATGGCTATGGTCTATTCTCATCACTCACATGACTAGAATGTCTATGGTCTATTTCTATCACTAACATGACTAGAATGTCTATGGTCTATTCCTATCACTCACATGACTAGAATGGCTATGGTCTATTCCTATCACTCACATGACTAGAATGGCTATGGTCTATTCCTATCACTCTCATGACTAGAATGTCTATGGTCTATTCCTATCACTCACATGACTATAATGGCTATGGTCTATTCCTATCACTCACATGACTAGAATGTCTATGGTCTATTGCTATCACTCACATGACTAGAATGTCTATGGTCTATTCCTATCACTCACATGACTAGAATGTCTATGGTCTATTGCTATCACTCACATGATTAGAATGTCTATGATCTATTCCTATCACTCACATGACTAGAATGTCTATGTTCTCTTCCTATCACTCACATGACTATAATGGCTATGGTCTATTCCTATCACTCACATGACTAGAATGTCTATAGTCTATTTCTATCACTAACATGACTATGGCTAAGGTCTATTCCTATCACTCACATGACTAGAATGGCTATGGTCTATTCTTATCACTCACATGACTAGAATGGCTAAGGTCTATTCCTATCACTCACATGACTAGAATGTCTATGGTCTATTCCTATCACTCACATGACTAGAATGGCTATGGTCTATTCCCATCACTCACATGACTAGAATGGCTATGGTCTATTCCTATCACTCACATGACTAGAATGACTATGGATCTATTCCTATCACTCACATGACTAGAATGTCTATGTTCTCTTCCTATCACTCACATGACTATAATGGCTATGGTCTATTCCTATCACTCACATGACTAGAATGTCTATGGTCTATTTCTATCACTAACATGACTATGGCTAAGGTCTATTCCTATCACTCACATGACTAGAATGGCTACGGTCTATTCTTATCACTCACATGACTAGAATGTCTATGGTCTATTCTTATCACTAACATGACTAGAATGGCTAAGGTCTATTCCTATCACTCACATGACTAGAATGGCTATGGTCTATTCTTATCACTCACATGACTAGAATGGCTAAGGTCTATTCCTATCACTCACATGACTAGAATGTCCATGGTCTATTTCTATCACTAACATGACTAGAATGGCTAAGGTCTATTCCTATTACTCACATGACTAGAATGTCTATGGTCTATTTCTATCACTAACATGACTAGAATGTCTATGGTCTATTCCTATCACTCACATGACTAGAATGGCTATGGTCTATTCCTATCACTCACATGACTAGAATGGCTATGGTCTATTCCTATCACTCACATGACTAGAATGGCTATGGTCAATTCCTATCACTCACATGACTATAATGGCTATGGTCTATTCCTATCACTCACATGACTAGAATGTCTATGTTCTCTTCCTATCACTCACATGACTAGAATGTCTATGGTCTATTTCTATCACTAACATGACTATGGCTAAGGTCTATTCCTATCACTCACATGACTAGAATGGCTATGGTCTATTCTTATCACTCACATGACTAGAATGTCTATGGTCTATTCCTATCACTAACATGACTAGAATGGCTAAGGTCTATTCCTATCACTCACATGACTAGAATGGCTATGGTCTATTCTTATCACTCACATGACTAGAATGGCTAAGGTCTATTTCTATCACTAACATGACTAGAATGGCTAAGGTCTATTCCTATTACTCACATGACTAGAATGGCTATGGTCTACTCCTATCACTCACATGACTAGAATGGCTATGGTCTATTCTTATCACTCACATGACTAGAATGTCTATAGTCTATTCCTATCACTCACATGACTAGAATGTCTATGGTCTATTTCTATCACTCACATGACTAGAATGGCTAAGGTCTATTCTTATCACTCACATGACTAGAATGTCTATAGTCTATTCCTATCACTCACATGACTAGAATGTCTATGGTCTATTTCTATCACTCACATGACTAGAATGTCTATGGTCTATTCCTATCACTCACATGACTAGAATGTCTATGGTCTATTCTTATCATTCACATGACTAGAATGGCTATAGTCTATTCCTATCACTCACATGACTAGAATGGCTATGGTCTATTCCTATCACTCACATGACTAGAATGTCTATGGTCTATTCTTATCATTCACATGACTAGAATGGTTATGGTCTATTCCTATCACTCACATGACTAGAATGTCTATGGTCTATTCTTATCACTCACATGACTAGATGTCTATGGTCTATTCCTATCACTCACATGACTAGAATGTCTATGGTCTATTCCAATCACTCACATGACTAGATGGCTATGGTCTATTCCTATCACTCACATGACCAGAATAAATATGGTTCCCTCCTTCAATTCAAATTGTGAGAAACAATTGGTTTCTTCTACCTTTGTCACTGAAATCATCAACAAGTATAACTTCTTCTAAAAGATGAATGGGACTTCTACTAACAATGCTGTGTACTGTTCTAAGCAATGTTGACCATCCCTCATTGTGAAACACAATCACAACACTGGCTTTGGGTAAATCAACTGGGTAATGCCAAAACATACACCTACAAAAAAACAGACAGTATATGTTTAGACCAATCTATGAGGGTACACTATACCATATGATTAGACCACTCCTTTATGGTTTGACCCCCCCCCCCCCCATCCGTGACCCAGTGTGATAAGTTCGTCACAAAGTGTGATATATATATATTCAGCAATGACGATACATAGTGAGCTGGTGTTGTAACTGCTTACCAAATGGATTACTGGGGCACATTCACTGAATTCAGTACTTATCGATTGGCCATATAGTGATAACGTGTGGAGGAAAGTTGATTTCTTTTTATTGTATCAAATTTGATTCTTGTGGCATGTCAATCCTTGACACATCATCTTGTATGGTTTGCAAGCTGCATTCCTTCCTTTGATTAAGTAGCAATGCAATTTCCAGCAAATATAGGTGTGATCACTTTGATATACTAACATCAAGTTTCAGTCACTGTATGCCTTTCTTCTCATACCAAATATCATGTCTCAATCCGTGTTTCAATGAATTACAATTACCTACACAATTTTGTTTTCACATATATACTGTGATGTAGATTAATCCCCAATGAAACAAATTATATATGAACAGATTAATGAATTTAAAAAATGGCATCAGACAATTAAATTGTTCAAAAATGACTTGAAATAGTCTTTAAATTAGTTTAACAAATTCAGTTTTCATGGGAAAAAAATCAATATTATAAAACCATAATTAGTTTGTCAGATTAATAGGATATAAGTGTAGATCACAGAATAAACGGTAAAAGTCCTGACTCTTCTGAAACTATATATTGCTATAATAGGAAATAAGTCAGAACAATCACAGCTACTGGCCAAGACAGCATTTTTTCACACAAAAATAAATTCTTTACAGACTGGACAATAGTCTGCATGAAAGCATGATTTATATCAACTTTGAATAGTATCGTACAGGGGTCATTTTTATGGATAATCACCAACATGTGATTAACTTTTGGAATAGTCCAACCTTCAGATGACACTGTTATTGTAAAGTTATAAGTCCATTATCAAACGATGCCCACCAGAAGTATTTGGACTGAATTCCAAGAGAATTGATGACTATATCGGTGAATTGTGATTTAATAAATAGTTTATCTGTGTGTCCTAGTTTCACTACTAATACTAATTTCTGCATTACTACATCTCAAGTCTGCACCACAGGACATATTCAAAAGAACACTTCCAAAAAAAGGTTCATGTCGGTGATAGTAAAGAGCGGAGGCAAATACATCTAATTTATAAGCAGAATTGCTGGTAGGAGTAAAGTAGGTATTGCAATTTGTATTACTGTTTGGACAGAATATTATGGGTATGTTGTCCTACTAGCCACTAAAATGTTGGCAGTCATGAATGGGCTGACAAGAAACTATTTTTGGCTGGTGGTTGTAGGCTCAATGACCAGATGCAAAACAGTTGATGCAAGAGTGCTGGCGTTCCTTCGGAAATGGGTTGTTGCAGTTTCTGCTGTTAAAATCTACACAATCTGTTTGTTATTGTGTGGTTGTTGGTACTTTGCTGTCACTGGTAGCTCCAGTAAAATGGATTTATGTGAGCTTTTTGCATATACAATCAATCCAAACAGGTTAGGATAAGCAAATATTATTTCTACTGGAAATGTAATTGAGCCCTCATCTATGGTTTTTAATCCTTTCAATGTCAGGAAGTTGAAGTTTAGTATCCACAAAAACAATGAACTTAAAACAATGAACTTAAACTACATTGACATATATATACTACCAGAGTACTAATGTATACTAAATATATTATATACATAATATAGGAAATATTACATAATTTAACAATAATAAATCAAATTAAATAAATAACATTTAATTTTCATCAAGAAAAAGAGCTGCTCTGATATTTTTTACTGAATGGTACTTTGGTTTTATTTCTTAAAGATACAAGAAAACTGTTCCACAATTTAACAGCTGAAT